TCTCTTCTCTATTACCTTAAAAGGAGAGATTGTGGATCTGCTTGATGTGGACACGGGGAAACTGAGGCTGAAAAAGCCTGAGGTGACTCACCTGAGTCTCCTCTGCTCGTTCCTGCCCTGGGGCTGATGTTCTTCCCTCCACACTCCGAAATCCCCCAGCCCAACTGTGTCTGCGTGGGTGGCTGGGAGACTTGTGGCTGGCAGGTCCTGGCTGCATCTTAGGGCCAAGCCAGCAGGATGGTATCTGTCTGCACATGGGGTCTTAGCTCTTCACATCCATGCAAGCTGTTTGTGCCCATCCATGGGCAAGGAGTGATGGGACCACAGAAATAGATATTTCACCACGTTACCTCACATGAAGAAATGGAGGCCCAGGCATGATAAGCCACCTCCTCCAGAGTCACACGTGAATTGGCAGAGTTGAGGCTGGGGACCTCCAGAACGAGTCCCGAAGTAAGAGGACTCGGCTCTGCGTGCTCACCCCGGTCAGCTTAGCTGCTAGCCTCCCTGCTGAGTACCAGTGGAGTCATGTCCCAGGCCAGCTTCTGGGCAGGCATTGGGGAATTGGAATGAAGCATCTGAGATTTGGGGTTTCGATTTCTTAATGTAGCATCATCAAGAAAGCGGTGCTCAGCTGACCCCAGGGGAGGGTGGAAGGGAGCATGAGAGAGATGCTATTTGCCAGAGGAGTGAACCGCTGGAGGAGGAGAGAGACTGAACAGAAGGAAATGGAGATGGATGGCAGGAAGTGGGAGGAAGCCTCATTTGCTGGTTGTCCAAATATCATTTCCTTCAAACTATTTGATAGCCAATTTCCCCTGAGATCTTCTCTAGGGAATTGCCTATTATCACAAATAGCTTGCTTTCCTCCTTTTTCTCTTGCTTTTCTTGTTTCTGTTTCCCTTTATTCATGCATTCCTCCCTTCCTCCTTCCTTTCTTTTTTCTTTCCTACTTTTCTTTCTTTTGTTCTCCCTTTCATCATTTCTTTCTCTTTCTCCTTCCTTCCTTCTTTCTTTCTCCCCTTTTCTTTTTTTCCCATTCCTTCTCTCTTCCTTTCTTTTTCCCTTCCCTTTCTCCTTTCTTCCCTCCTGTCTCTCTTTCTTCCACCTAAGTGAGCTTGTGACTCTTTAGGAAGTAGACTGGGGGTGGACAACAGCTACCTTGGAAACTGGGGCTGCAGAGATAATGCTGCTTTCTTGTCCCGGTGCTACGGAAAGGGTCAGAATGTAGGACTCCTGGCTGGCCAGGTTTGGGAATGGGACATCAGACCCGGAGGATCCCATCTCCCAGCCACGCATCTATGTCCTTTGCACTGCAGCCTGCCCTTTCAGTCATGTTTTCTCCTACTTTCAAGGTGGGGGCAGGCAGCATGCAGGGTGGTCAAGCAGCCACCACAGAGGGATCTTGGACTGACTGTCCCGTCAATTAAATGGGAACAGCAGCTCCTACCTGCCAGCTTCCTAGAGCTGTTATGAAGCCTTTGTGTTTGGCAAACTACAGAGACCCAAGCTTCAGTACTTTGGACCTATTGATATTTGTTGAGACCACCCCATCCTATGGCTGGAGAAAAGTCAGTCCCCCTTGTCTCAGAGTCACAGAAATACATGCTGGCTTCAGGACTTATGCCACCCTGGAGGGCAGGCATTGCTGCAATGCAAGACTGTACCGGCAGCCTGTCTGCTTTCCTCTCCTGGAGCTGCCTGCCACAGCCAGGCCTGGCACCGTCTCCTAGACCTCAGAAAGAATGGTTCTTAGGACGCTCTCATGAACTCCTCGGAGCTGAGAAATCGAACCCAGAAATCGACAAACAATTTATCCACAATGAATTCTGGCTTCGCAAGTGCCCTCCCTAACGCCTAAAGTGACAACCCCTGAGCTGAGGACCCTTCTAGAATGAAAGTTTCCAACCTTCATCGGAAAAAGAGAATCACGAAAAGGATGATGTGTCAGCTGGTGCCCAAGCAGCACAGTAAGCCCACTTCCTATCGTCACCCTGTGTGACTTCAGAGCAAGCAAGGGAGAGAATTACCTAGAAACAGGAAGTGAGAACCTACACCATCTGTAGTCATCTGTTAGTGCAATAGACATTTTTAGTGCCCGCTGCATGCCAGGCCTGTGCTTGTCCATATTTCGTTGAATTACATGGCCTCCCTCCTCACAGACTGCCAGGGACAGACACATCAAGGGGCAGTGAGTGTGACAGTGAAGAAATGTTCCAGTGCCCCAAAGGCCCAGAGTAGCTTGACTTCAGAAGTCACCTGAAGGAAATCAGAAACCTGGAGTAGAGAAGAGATTGGGAATTAGAAGAAATCAGGACCCAGATACAGCCAGAGAGACAGACCCCTCTATTCCATGTATGTATGTGATTTAAGGCTGTTCCTTGTCTTAGTTCTCTGTTGGTTTGCCCAGTGTCAACTGGGAGGTCCAAGGTGATGCTTGGATGCTCTGTACAGAGGCCAGGCTGGGCAGAGATGCGGGGGGCACAGAGCAGGAGAGTAAGAGGGGAGAGGACACCTTCCTAAGGTTGCCCCATGTGAGGGGAGGAAAGGCATGAGTGACTCCAACCACAACCAACAATACTCACTAATTCTAATTTCTGTGGCTGTCCTGAGCCCCAGGCCAGGGGCCCAGCCCCTGTACCTAACCTTTCTGTGCCTCAGTTTCCTCATAATGGTGCCTTAATCACAGGGTTGGTATAAGGATCAGTTAGGGGATTATGTATAAAATGCATAGAACATTGCTTAGAGTGTAGTAGGTGCTAGATAAGGGGTAGAGTGGTCATTGTTGAGGGGTGAGTGAAGCCGCGAGGGCACTGCATTCATTGTTCTGTCGATGGCACCTCGGGTGTTACTAAAGGCAGACTCTAGAGTGGCTGTGCTAATGCCTCAGTCAGGGAACAGTGGCAGTACGGGGTGGGGGTGGGGGGTGGCATATGACAAGGCTGCTTTCACTCAGAAAAGCCCCTTCTGGATCTCGTCATGGGGAGAGCCCCTCCTCCGGGGCCGGGAGGATGTGGAGGTGGGCTTAATTCTGGAGCCCAGAGGAGTGGGCAGGGCTTGTGCTCCCACTTCTTGGTCCAGAAGTCTTTCGGAGTCACTGACAGGAGCAGGAATGACTGTTCCTCCAGGAGCTCCTCCCTTCCCCTAACCACAATTGGCCCACATAACCCGCAACCGCCAATTGGTCCATTCACTAGAAAGCCTGTTTGCTGGAGTCCAGGAAGAGCGCTCTGCCTCTCCCACTGCCCCCACCTGCCAGCACCAGCGCTGGGCTGTGGGTCCCCAGAGCAGCTGGGCCTGGAGCAGCCTCCTCTTCTGTCCTCCTTGGGCAGGCATGTGGGGAAGAGTCCAGGCAAGGCCCTCCGTGGCAGGGCCATCCATGTCAGGGCACTGGGGTGCTCTATGGGGCTGTTAGTCAAGAATTCTGCCTGTCAGTGAGTGTGCAGCTCTTTGCTAGAAGCAGCTGAGGGGCCAACACTAGATGATCCAGTCCTTGCCAAAGTGTAGCAGAAGAAACGCAGAATTTGGCTTCAGCTCAGATCTTTTTTGGATATATTATTTACCAACAGGAACCTTTGGCAAGTTGCTTGAACCCTCCAAGCCTCAGTTCTCTCATCTGTAAAATGGGAATTATCACAATTTTGGCCTCCCATGAGTAGTGACAAGATCAAATTAGACATTTACTGGAAAATGCTCTTAATCTAAGAAGTAATCTTAGAAGACTCATGCCATGTTGGCTATCGTTAGTGAAGGACTTTGGGGTTGAAATTGGATCATCTACATTCAGTTCTCAGATGGCTACTTTCTAGCTTCGTGACCAGGGGCAATGTAGGAACCTTTTATGAGCCTCAATTTCCTCATCTACTAAGTGGAAATCATAGTACCTGTCTCAGAGTGTTACAAAAAGTCAACAGAGTATATAACCAGGTCCTTGTATATAAGCAGAGTGGGTGCCGAGTGACTATTAGCTACAATTACTCATAGAAGTAACAGGAATGATATGACCAGAAGGAGCTCATCATAGAAAGCAAACCAGGTTCACAGGCATCTTATTTTCTGCTCAGCTGTAGGTCCCCAAGCTGTAACCACTCAATAAATATTTGCTGATTGATTGAGGATGATTGATCCCGGACTCCAGTGCCAACATTCCTGAAAACTGCCTGGCCCTGGGCCTTTTGCAACAGAGATGGAACAGCCTGGCATAGAGTCTCTCTCTCTCCTCCCTCCACCCCTGATTAGGTCAAATATTTGCTTCCCTTGAAGTTCATAAAGCTATTTCATTAAATTGTGTTTTCAGTTATGCAAAAACAGGGTCATGCCAATGCTATTTTACAGCAAAGAAAGCAGAGAACCATAGAAAATATATTTTTAGATCATGACAATAGAAGTCACACATGACAATAGAAGTCCAGTTCTGCCCTGAATTAAAAAGAAACCATGGAGCAGACGCCTAATTCTTTAAGCCAATTTAAAAGAAGGATTGGCCGGGCGCAGTGGCTCACGCCTGTAATCAGCACTGTGAGGTGCCGAGGCGGATGGATCACCTGAGGTCGGGAGTTCGAGACAAGCCTGATCAACATGGAGAAACCCTGTCTCTACTAAAAATACAAAAAGTAGCTGGGCTTGGTGGCACATGCCTGTAATCCCAGCTACTCGTGAGGCTGAGGCAGGAGAAACACTTGAACCTAGGATGTGAAGGTTGCAGTGAGCCGAGATCGCACCATTGAACTCCAGCCTGGGCAACAAGAGCGAAAATCCATCTCAGAAATAAAGGCTCTTCCAACAGCTGAGTCTGGGGGAAACTGGACTACGGGATCACGTCTTCTTGGACACTCTGTGCCCCTAAGGAGTTTTACCGCTTTTTGTAGGTGGGAGCCGGGACCCAAGAGGAAAGTTGAGCATATGCCTTTGGAATCACTAGCACTTCTCCCTGCATTCCTTAACTTGCTCATTTAATGAACATCTATTGAGCACCTACCTAGGCACTAGGGCTAAAATGATTGACCAGGACCACCTTTTACTCCCAGGAGGGTCACAGTCTCTTGGGAGGAGGAGACCCTTGAGCTGCATTGAGAGCCAAAGTGCACCTCGTGCGGAAGTGGGGAAGGAGCATTTGAGAGAGAGAGAACAGCACGCACAAAGCTCGGGAGAGGTGAGGGCAGGGTAGTGGTTTCTGGGTAGTTACTCAGGAATGATTGGAGCTGGGGAGGAAGACTAGAGGAATGAGAGAGAGGCCAGACCAATCTCATTTACTGGGTGTCTGTAGGTCATACATGTGACAATTTGCCCTTACATTGAGGACCACTGAGGATGCTAGGAGATGACAGGATTAGATCCATCCATTCAGTGAATGTTTTCCAAGCATAGGACACTGTCTGATGGGGTCCACGAAGAGGCACATCCGCACCTGGACTTGTCCTTAGCAAATGCAGCATCTCATTAGGAAGTGAGGGCTTGGGGGAGTGCCAGAGACTGACACAGGTTTATCAGCTAAAGGGAAGGAACCCACAGAGGAGAAGCTGAGGAGATGGAGGTACAGGGCCACTGAAGGAGCAGGGTCCTGTGGATAGGTAGGGGTGAGATCAAGGACGGGAGGACAGGGTCTGTGCAGTCAGAGAAAGGGACATTTTGCCTTTGAGGTCCAAGATGTGGGTTTGGCAGAAGGAACAGACCTCAGGAGACTAAGTGCTGTAGAGAGAGAGAAGTTCAGGTGATTAGTGGTGGGTCCAGGTGAAGAGAGAAGGAGGGGCCAGGAAACATTCGCTGTCTCATTCAACAAACAAGATAAATGCTCACTGAGCACCCAGCAGGGAGCAGGGGCAATTAGGTACCAGACTGCCATGGTTCCCACCCCCAGGAGCTCATGGTCTCCGGCCATCTCTGCTTGCCCTTCCCAGGTCTTCTTATTGGAATCCCCCGGTACTCATCTTTAGGGCCCATCTGAAATGTCCTCACCTTGGGAAGCCTTGCTTCTTGCTCTCAACAGGAATGCTTCCTCCCTTCTCTGGCCCATGGTACTTTGGTCTCTGTGTCTCTCTTGTGTTGATGTGCATTTCTCACCCTTCATCCTACTAAACTATGAGAATAGAGACAGCTTTTATCTCCCACAGAACCCATGTATACTTCGTTGAATAAATGAATGAATGAGTGAATGAATGGATTTTAGGGAATTCAGGTCATTTCCCCTGTTGGAGGCCACCTTTTTCCCACCCCTGTTTCTGAGCTCAGCACTACCCCTTCATCCCACTGTGCCCTGTCCCAGTGCTGGCTGCGGGGTCACATGCTTGTCATAGGCCCTCTGCACTTGGGTGAGATCATGGGCTCTGGCAGGATGCCAGAGCTGCTGCAGGTCAGAACTCGCTCTGTCAATGCAACCCAGGTGCTAGCAGAACTGGGGTGCTTGTCCAGGCTCTCCAGAGGCTGCAGAGACCTTCGTGCATACAGGTTGCTGCAGCACCTGTCAGGCCTTCCTTGCTCTCTGTCTGTCCTTGCTCTGCTCCAGCCCTTGTGTGGCATAGCAGTCCTGCTGGTGGACATTGTCCTCCCAGCTATGGCCTCACCTAGTGCTGACAGTGCTCCACACACACACAGTGTAATGCTAGCACCCTTGACTGATGCCAAGGCCTTCCTCAGTTGGTCCCCACCTTCTGCTTCCGTCTTGTCTTCCATTATACACCCCTATGCCTAACAAAAATTGGATAGCCATCTACTGGATAAATCCTTCTTGAATGTTTTCTATGCACGTGTCTCAAGGTTAAGTGCTGGGATTTCCAAAGTAGTAGAAGCCTACTGTCAGTGAGCTCACAGTCCAGCAGGCTGGAGGGGTGAGGCTGGAAGCAGCCGATGACAGCATCCCATTGTTAAGCCTATCGGGAAGGAAGCCCAGACTGCTCTGGGAGCCTCATGGAGAAGGTCCAGGGTCAGGCGCAGTTTTCAGGGGTGATGACAGGTGAGCCAAGAAAAGGAGAGAGGGGCAGGTCAGGGAAGGAGGTCCCAGGCAGAGGGAGCAGCAAGGGCAAAGGGGAGGGGGGGGTCTGGCTCAATGTGGTGAGTGTGAGTGGCAGAGAGTTGGAGGGGAAGAAGGCTGACAAGGCTGGCAGAGGCAGAGCCACAGAGGTGTCACTATGCCTCCATCCCTACCTGTGGAAATAAACCCCCTCCACGGCCCCTCAACTGCTCTCTCCACAAAAAGAGTTCCGTTTCCCTGACGCACATGGTCTCGTCCTCCTCAGAATCCCGATGGCCCTTTACATCCATCTCCTAACCCTTGTCCCTGTGCCAGCTTATTTTCAGCTTCCATCTGTGCCTGCCCTACACCTGTACCTGCCTAGAGCAGAGACATGGCATTTCAATATCCTGCACAAATACCGAGTGAGCATCTACCCTGGGCTAGGTCTTGGTCCTGGAACACAGCGGAGAGTGAGACGGGCGAATTGAAATACCTCAGTCCCCAGCCAGATGACCCTGTTCCTCTCAGGCTCCCCAGTGAATCATCAGGAGGTTGCTCCATAAGCAAAGAATCTGGTCAAAAGGAGGGCCGTCATGTCATGCCACTTACTGTGTGACTTCTGGCAAACTGTAGAACCTCTCTGATCGGGACAGAAGTAACCCCTCCCTCAGGGCCTTGTCATGAGTAAATGTGATGGCAAATGTGGAAGGTTTGCCAGCAGCCTCCAAAGGCCAGAAGCTTAGGGGCAGGGATGCCTTTCTACTGCTTCTCACCAGCACACACCTCCCAGGACCTGCCTCCATGGCGGAGCATCTCAGACCAAGCCTCTGCACCAGGACGGGGCTGACCTGCTCAGCTCAGCTCACTGCACCTTCCAGCTGCTTGTCCCATCCTCCCCAACACCTGCCCTCTTTTTTTTTCTTTCTATATTTCTTATCAGTAAGGAAAAGCTTATAGCACTTCTAGGAGGCCGCATGTGTACAGCTGCGATTTTCAAGACTGCAATTTGTCTTCTGATTCTGGAGGATTAATTTCTTGTTGTTTTTTTTTTTAAACCTCTGAGTTGAACTGCATCCAAATTTCAACATCAGAGGAATGGGAAGTTCTCAAACATGTTTAAACTGTGGAGCCCATAGAAGCCAGATCATTCTTTTCTGGAACTATAAAAAAATAAAAAGTTTGTTTTCTGAGACGGAGTCTTGCTCTGTTGCCCAGGGTGGAGTGCAGTAGCACGATCTCGGCTCACTACAACCTCTGCCTCCGGGGTTCAAGCAATTATTCTGCCTCAGCCTCCTGAGTTGCTGGGACCACAGGCGTGAGCCACCATGCCCAGCCAATTTTTGTATTTTTAGTACGGATGGGGTTTCACCATGTTGGCCAGGATGATCTTGAACTCCTGACCTCGTGATCCACCCACTGCTGGGATTACAGATGTAAGCCACCTCACCCGACCTCTCGTTAAATAACAGTGTGTTCAACCTTTAATTCACCTTACCTGTGCTAAATCAGAGAGCACTGGATCCTTGTGCTTGCTATGGTTTTAACATTTCCCTCGAAAGTTCATGTGTTAGAAACTTAATCCCCAAGATGACCATGCTGGGAGGTGGGGCCTACTAAAAGGTGATTGGGACATGAGGGGCAGTCCTCATGAATGGATTAATGCTATCATGAGAGTGTACTGTCACCCATCAAGTCTGGCCCCTGATGCTTCTCTGTGTGCGTCTCACGTGCTTGCTTGCCCTTCTGCTGCGTTAAAACACAGCAAGAAGACCCTAGCCAGATGCCAGGCAGATGCTGGGGCCATGCCCTTGGACTTCCCTGCTTCCAGAAATGGGGAAATAAATTTCTTTTCTTTATAAATTACCCAGTCTCAAGCATTCTGTTAGAGCCACAGAAAACAGACTAAGACAATTCTCATGTAAACAACTCGTAGGAGGGCTCAAAGGTTTAAGGAAAATGTTGAGACCTCAGGTCCTAAGTAAGGAATATTCTACACTCAATCTTCAGATTGCGAAGGTTGGGGATGTTTATGTATATTTAGGGGTAGGACTCCAGCTCTAGGAAACAGAATTTGAGAGCTCTGGGTCCTGGAATCAGGCCAAGCCTCAAAAACAATAACCTGAGTCCCTCAGGGCTCTGCTGGGCTCCCAGCTTTCCTTTCTGCTGTGCTGCTCCCCTGATGCTGATGGCCAGCCCATCCCTCCCGCCCCACCTACCACCCCCTGATCATTCGTAGAAAGGGAACGAAGCTGGTAGCTGACTAGTAACATGGGCTGGAGCAAGACTGCCTGGATTCAACTGCAGCCGCTGTACTTACTAGCTGTGTAACCTTGGACAAGCCCTCTGTGCTTCAGTTGCCTTATCTGTAAAATGGAGATAATAACAGCACTGACCTTAAGGGTACTGATGAGGATTAACTGAGTTACAACAGGGGTCTACAGATCTTTCCTGTAAAGGGCCAGATAGTAAATATTTTTAGTGTGTGATATTACATACCCCTATGCTTGACAAAAATCAGATAGCCATCCACTGAATAAAGATAAATCTTCTTTCTTTTCTTTTTCTTTCTTTCTTTCTTTCTTTCTTTCTTTCTTTCTTTCTTTCTTTTCTTTCTTTGTTTCTTTTCTTTCTTTCTTTCTTTTTTCTTTCCTTTCCTTCCTTCCTTCCTTTTCTTTCCTTCCTTCCTTCTTTCTTTCTTTCCTTCCTTCCTTCTTTCTTTCCTTCTTTCTCTTTCTTTCTTTTCTTTCCTTCCTTCCTTCTTTCTCTTTTCTTTCTTTCCTTCCTTCCTTCCTTCTTTCTTTATTTCCTTCTTTCTTTCCTTCCTTCTTTCTTTCCTTCCTTCTTTCTTTCTTTCCTTCTTTCTTTCTTTTTCTTTCCTTCCTTCCTTCTTTCTTTCTTTTCTTTCCTTCCTTCCTTCTTTCTTTCTTTCTTTCTTTCCTTCCTTCCTTCTTTCTTTCTTTTTCTTTCTTTCTTTCTTTTCTTTCCTTCCTTCCTTCTTTCTTTCTTTCCTTCTTTATTTATATATTTCTATCTTTTCTATCTTTCCTTCCATCTTTCTTTCTTTCCTTCTTTTCTTTCCCTCCTTCCTTCCTTCTTTCTTTCTTTCCTTCTTTCTTTCTTTCTTTCTTTTTTCTTTCCTTCTTTCTTTCTTCCTTACTTTCTTTTTTGAGGCAGGGTCTTGCTCTGTTGCCCAGACTGGAGTACAGCGGCACGATCTCTGCTCACTGCAGCCTCCACCTCCCAGGTTCAAGCAATTCTCGCAGCTCAGTTTCCCAGGTAGCTGGGACTACAGGCACCCGCATCATACCCTGTAGCTGGGACTACAGGCACCCGCATACATACCCTAGGTTTTGTATTTTTAGTAGAGATGGGGTTTCACCATGTTGGCCAGGCTGGTCAGGAACTCCTGACCCCAAATGATCCTCGTAACTCAGCCTCCCAAAATGCTGGGATTACAGGCATGAGCCACAGTGCCCGGCTGATAAGTCTTTATCTAATGCTTACTATGTGCCTGGTTCAAGGTTAAGGGCTGGGATTTCCAGAGTAGAAGACAGCCTACTGTCAGCGAGCTCACAGTCTAGCAGGGCTGGAAGAGGTGAGCCTGGTAAGCAGCAAGTGACAGCATCTCAATGTTAGTGCTACGGGGGAGAAAGTCCAGGTTGCTCGGGGAACCTCATGGAGAAGGTCCAAGGTCAGGTGCAGTTTTCAGGGCCGATGGCAGGTGAGCTAAGGAAAGGAGAAAAGAGCAGGGCAGGGAAGGGGGTCCCAGGCAGAGGGAGCAGCAAGGGCAAAGCAGAGAGAGGAGACAGGCTTGGTGTGGTGAGTGTGAGTGGTAGAGGGTTGGCGGGTAAGGAAACGCTTCTAGCACTTCTAGGAGGCCTCAGGCTCTGTCACAACTACTCTGCTATTGTATCTTGAAAGCAGCCATGGACAATACGTATGCGATGGGCATGTGTTCCGATAAAATGTATTTGTAAAAACAGATAGGGAGCTGGATTTGCCCTGAGGCCTATAATTCACTGACCCATGAGTTAATATGTGAAATAAGTGCTTGTCATGTAGTAACACGCAACAAATGTTAGCAATTACTATTCATTCATGAATCAACTAAACATTTGAGCACCTACTCTATGCCAGGCCCTGTTGTGAGTGCTGGGGACGTAGCCAGGAGCACAGACAAGGTTCCTGCCCTCAGGGAGCTTCCATTCTAGACGGGGGAGACAAAAATAAACAAGGAAACAAGAGAAAAGACCAGGTCATGGTAGGTGCTCTCTCAAAACTAAAGCAGGGACTGTCATAGTGACGTCACAATGAACTATATCAGTGTGGTGGCCAGCAAAGGCCTCTCAGAGGATGTAACCTTCAAGCCAAGACCGGCATGCCAGCTCTGCGGCAACAGAAAGAGCAGGAACCCAGGCAGGACAAACAGCCCAAGCGCCCACTTCTGCTCTGTTCTCAGCCCAGAGAACCAGAGACAGCATCTGCCGTACTAGGAGGGCCAGGAGGAGAGGGGGACAGCAAAGAGAGGACAGAAAGGAACATCTCATGGGAACTTGCAACTCTGGGTGCTGCGCCAGCTGTGGGAGGGGGTGTTTCTCCTCATCCTTTTGACCCTCAGCCCATCTCCAGGATACATCCCTTTTCTCAACATCCCGACCCTCAGCCTGGCACCACCCCTCTCTCCTTTCTGCTGCATTCCCCTCACTGACTGGCTGAAAGCCCTCAGCCTAGGCATGGCAACATCTCTGCTTCGCACATCTGTCTTGGAGTCCCGGGTTTGCTCGAGCCAGTTTACCCACTACTTAAAGCCAGAGGTGCCACCCAGCAGGTGAATAGGAGGCTCTGTAGCTGCTTCCTCCTGTACAGGGGTGTTTGGAATTCCGTACAGAGAGAATGAGGTGGGCTTCACTGGAGCCACTCCCAGACACAGGTTTGCTTCCCTTGTTCTCTGATTCAATGCTTTCTAAGCTCTTTACTGACTGAGCAACCACCTTTGTGCATGTGGTTTGTGGCCCCCACAGATGCTGCAAGACCCCTCTCTTTCCTGCCCTCCACCCCCAATCTGCAGCCTTCTCTTAGTTGAACATTCTGGCTCACACAGAATTCTGCAGGATGGCCTAGCCCGGGAACCGGACCGCACCGGTGATGTTGCTCTTCCACAGAGAACAAATCCTCAACTCCAGCAGCTTCTGGAGCCAGAGGCAGCCTGCCGACCTTCCTACCGCAGCAGTTTCCCACACGCAGCTTCTACACCAGAGGGACACGTTTCCTGACCTGGCCCCAGGCTCTAGTTATGCCCTTCTGGGTAGCGCTCTGTCCCTCCTTCAAATCTCACTTCCTTTAGACACCTTCCCAGACTGTGTCCCCAACTCGGATGCCCCCTGTTTCCAGCATCCCCTCCAGAAGCGAACCTCAGAACCAGCTTTGATTGGCGTGTCCTTCTCACCCCGACCTGTGTGGCTGAAATGGCACCTCCTTGCTCTGTGTCACTCACATCTCCTCAGCTGGCTGTGAGAAGATTTCCAGGGCTGCCTGACTCATCAATGACTGATGCTGTCAGGCTGGCTGTCACGTGGCTAGGGGGGGTCCCATGGGTGGGTGGGCAGCATGGAGGGGCCAGTGTGTCCTCCAGCCCATTTGGGAGGCCTCCCCCGCCCCAACTCTTTGTTGTCCCTCGTTGCTATCTTGGTACCCAGGAAGTTGGCTGGAGAAGGGAAAGTCTGACCCTTCTTCCTGTCAACAATGACTTTCTGCTTGGAGCTGACCCCTTTGGGGTGAGTCACCAGGAAGGGCAATCCGCCTCTGCTGATGGGAGGAGGAAGCCCGTGAGGGGAGGCTCAGTGTCTGGGGTCACTGAGGCTTGTGGCTACACCAGGGTCTTCCTGAAGAAGGGGCTCAGAATAGGCTGCCTGTTGACCCCCAAAAGTGGGGGGTGGTCTCCAAATACCTCCCCTCACCCTTCTGTCCTGCAGTTTCACCTGCAGTCACAGCAGATTGATGTCCTTAAATACAGCTGTGACCATGTCACATCTCAATTATAATCTTCAGAGGCTCCTTATTTCCTCCAGAATAAAGTCAAACGCCCTTGTTCGGCCCCAAGCTCCTCTCTGACCTCGTCACCCTCTGCTCCCCATGGCTTCTGCTCTGTCAGGCTGGCATCCTTTGCTCCTGAATGTGACACAGCACACACGGCCATCTCCAGACTTCTGCCTTCGCCACGCCTTTCTCCATCGTCCCCCTCCCCTTGCCCTTTCTTTTCCAGATGGATAATTTTCATTTTTCTTCCCATTCACCCTTCCATCTATTCAAATAGTATTTATTGAGCACCTTTTATGTGCCAGATTTAGTGCTATGAGCTGAAGTTTCTACCTCCAATGAGCTAGACGTGTACTCATAGGCCTGCCAGGCTTGCAGAAGGTAAGAGACATACTCAGACACTTGCAAAGTAGCCCCTGGGAGGGACACCTCACCCATGTTGAGATCACAGAAGATGGCTGGAGGAGGTTACACCCCTGATGATTTCCCGGGGAGTGAGTAGGAGGTAGGTGGGTAAGGAAACCAGGACTAGAAGCTGGAGGTAAGAATGTGTGGACCAGAGGAACCAGAAAATAGGAAGGCCTCAGTCAAGAGTCAGTGCATTCTAGGAACTGAAAGTTGGTCACAAAATTTGGAGTAGTGGGTGTGAGGTGGGCGGTGAGAAGAGGCAGGGAATGACCCAGTGGCCCCTCACAGTTTGGTCTTTATCCTAAGAGCCGTCAGAAGCCAGTGAATGGTTTATAGCAAAAGTTCGCACTGTGCAAATTTATTCCAATGTGACTGGAATGGGGACCGCAGATTGGAGGTGGGTGAGCTGCAGGCAGGGAGACTTTAGATGGGGACAGTTTCCATGGTCTGGGCCGAGGTCACGGTGGCGTGAGTTGTGTCCCCCTCACCCTGCAGCCACATTCGCCTTCTTTACAAGCTCATTTCCCACCCGGGGCCTTTGCTTTTGCTCTTTCCTCTGCCTGAAATACTCTGTCCCCTGACACTCACATGGTTTGTGCATCCAAATAATCCAGGCTTTTGTCTGGAGCAGCCCCTGACCCCTGTCACTCTCACTGTGCTTACCTGGCTTTAATTTCCATCTTGGCCTCTATCACTCCCCAGCGGATATGTCATAGGTTGTGCACGTGTTTTTCTATCGCCAGCACTAGCACGAGACCTCCCTCAGGGGAGGGGTTTGGTCTGCATGCTTCGCCTTCACTTTGGAGGTGCCTGAGGCGTGCCCAGAGTGGACACCCAGTAGACACTGGTGACAGGCTGCCACTGGGAGCATCTGACTCACCTGAAGCACCATGGCTGCCCCTGGGGCAGGGAACGGGATGGTGGGGGCAACAGCAGAACTACAGGCAGAGTGGGAGGGGTGTGGGACAGAGCCCGAGGTCTGCAACACCTCTGCCTCAGGTGGAGAAGAGGAGCCCCCAGAGGAGGAAAGAAAGGATGGTCAGAGAGTGGACCTTACATGGGTGTTTGTGCTTTGTGCCCAGATGGGAGCTTTAAGCTGTGTGGTGCAGGGTGGAGGTGCCAGGGAATGGAGATTCCCAGCAGGAACAGCGGGCTGAGAGCAGGCGAGCCTCAGAGAGCTCGGGGCTGCCAAAGCCCCCTGGGGTAGGCAGCTTCCGGAGGGAGGGAGTGCAGAGACAAGAGCTTGGCCGGGGAGAGACAGAAGAGGGGGAGCATGTGGCAAATGATGACCATGGCCTCTTGACTGCTCTCCTGGCCCTGCTTTGGCAGCATATTCTCCATGCAGAGTCATCTTTTAAAAGCATAAATCAGATCATCTCACTCTCTTGTTCAAAACCATTACTTAGAATAAAACGCAAGCTCCCTAAAGTGGCAAATGAGACCCTAGGGACCTGGCCCTACCGTGTCCTCTGACCTCATCTCCCCAGAACCACGTGCTGCTCACTCCACTCCTGCTCCTCAGACTCCCTGCCAGTCCCTGAGCAAGTGGGTCCCTGTCCCCAGCACTGGCTGGTTGCTCCCTCTGCCTGGAAGGTCCTCTCTTCCCTCACATTGCCACCTGGCCCTCCCCCTCACCACATTCAGGCCTCTGTTCAAATGTCACCTCCTCAGAAGCTCCTCCACCTGGAGCATCCTAAGACGGAACTCTCCACCTTCTGCCGCCTTAGCTGATTTTTCTGCACGGCAGACATTTATATTTATTGTGTATTACATGTTTGCTTATTTGCTGGCTTACTTCTTATTCCTCTTCCCTACTAAAGTGTGAGCTGCAGGAGGACGGGGGTTTTGTCTTCTTTGTTCACTCTCTGTTCTTAGCCCACAGCCCAGCCAACAGCACATGCTGAGCACACGGTAAATGTGCTCAATGGATGTTTGCCTAATGAACAACACTCTCTAAAGCAAATGTGCAGAGCCTAACATACAATGGCTCAGCACCACAGCTCTGCAAGGGGCATCCCCGTTTTACAGAGGAGCAAGCCTGGACTTGGAGCAGTTGAGCAACTGGGCCACAGACAGAGTTCATTGGACTGCAGGCTGTGAGCACAGACCAGCTCTTCTCACCCAACTCCGGGACCCCCCTCAGAGAGGAACAGTCTAGGCCCTCCTTCCACCTGCTCCTAGACTCAGTGGGGAGACGAGAAGACAATGAGGGGAATAAAGAAGTGCAGGGAGGAGAGGGGAGGAGAGGGGGAAGAGAGGGAGAGGAGAGGGGGAGGAGAGGGGGAGGAGAGGGGGATGAGAGGGGGAGGAGAGGGGGAGGAGAGGGGGAGGAGAAGAGGAGAGAAGGAGAAGGGGAGGAGAGGGGGAGGAGGAGCCCGAGGAAGAGCCAGCTGCTGGAGGAGAGGATGTCTGTCTTGGCTCCTGCTGAGGCCTGAGGGAAGAGGCTGCCCAGTGAGTGAGACCGGAGTGCCCTGCATCCTGAGCTAAAGGGCACCTTGGATGCCAAAGCCCACTTCTACCTTCAGGAGATGAGCAGGGACTTGCCTCAGGATGGGAGGGCCGTGGCTAAGGGAGTCCTGACCCTCTGGAAACTTCTCTCTTTCCACCTCCCCACCACCCACCGCAAGCTGCTGGGAATTCCCCACTTCCTGGTGGGAACTGTAAAGCCCCGGGGAGACTTGCCTTAGCCCCGGAATTTAGGACACTTTCCTGCTTTTATGAAACTATCTTCACCCTCTGCATACCAACCCCTCCCCAACACAAATTGGTGGGGGTGGGGCGGAGGAAGGGGGTTCCACTGGAGAACCCTCCCTTACCACCCAGCCCAAGAGCAAACCAGTTTTTCCCAGGGCTCAGAAGCTGCCTGTCAGCTTCTTGTTTGGGGATCACACTGAGGGAATAGAATCCCCCCATCCTTTATTTGAGATGAGTGTCTCCATGGCTGACACCACGACTGCTGAATCCGCCACCTCCAAACCCATGCTGGGGTCCAATCCCCAGCCAGGGCAGGAGGCATTCCGCAGGTGCCTCTCAGCGTGGCTCTACGCTGTCCTGGTGAGTCACTCCAGCCTGGTCCCTAGAGTTCTTGCCCCTGTCTCTTCTTGCTGGAAGTGTCCCTTGCCTGTCCCTTTCCTGGCTGCGTGTAGGAAAGAATGATGGACAACAGACCTAGGCTGGGAGGTCTTGTCGGTCAGCCAGCCTCAGAGAGCCCAGCCGGGATGAGCATCGACTTGCTGGCATCTGGGACACATCCCAGGCCAACTGTTTGCTCATGGGTCCCCAGAGCACCTGCTGCTTCCAGGAAGCTCTCTCTTAACTCATTTCAGCAAACGCCCAACCAGCCAAGGCGTCACTACAAGGCACTGGAAGGGAGAGATTGAAAGAATGGAGAAGACACAGCTCCCGCCTTCCAGGAGTCTAGAGACCCATCCTAACAGTCATCACATACTGTGCTTTAAGACGTGCCAGGCTCTGGGCTGAGGCGTGGGGACTCGGCGATAAGTAAAACACTTCTCTGAACTCCAGAAATTTAGACTGAAGCTGGGAAGAGAGAGCCACAATAAACTGGTAATTCCACTACGTGGTGGAATTACCTGAAAAGCCAGGCAGCTCCTCCCTGCAGCCTCAGCTGAGATGTCACCTTCCCCTAGGAAGTCTGGCCTGACCCTCATCTGGGTAGACATCCTGCAAGCATCGTCGTATGTACCACTGAGCTGTGTCATTGCCCGGAGCCTAGCAGCAGCCCCCATGCCCCCATCCCCCCGCCACCAGAACATGAGCACTTTGAAGGCAGGGATTGGCCTTCTGTCTTTTTGTCCTCGGAGTCTCACACAACTAAATGTATTTATAGATAAGCGTTACACGAATGACTTCTAAACAGTTGACTCCGATACAAGGCTGACAATGTATGCTAAATAGAGATTTGGCAACATGCTGGCTTTCTTGTAGAGAAAGGGCTGATGAATTCTGAAGGCTGAGGACAGAAAAGGCTCTAGAAAGAAGGTGTGATTGCGGCTAAGCCCTGCGGGATGCACAGGTTCTTGGCAGCGAGTGAAACAGGAGGGCATGAGTCAGGAACATACATGGCTTGTTACAGCTAACATACAAAAGCCTGCAGGGACTGGGAGTGTCGGGAGGAGATGTGGGTGGCCGGTGAGGAGTCTTGGTACCGTGCTAAGCACGGGGTCTCGTCTTTGTTCTGTAGACAGAGACCCTCTGAGAAAGTTCCAGGCCAGGAGTCATCTAACCTAACCCGCATTTTGCAGAGGCTCTGCTGATGGCTGTGGGAAGGGTATATTTTGGAGTGCATTTCTAGGAGTGTCCTCTCCTTGGTCTCTGTCCCCGGGAAGTGGGAGCTGGGGAAAGTTGGGGGGAAAGGGT